GGTGGATCAAGGCTCAGTGTGGAAAAGCTCCTGGAAGACTCAGCGCCTGGGAACCCTTTCATAAATGTTACCTAAAAATTAACAGCAGATAGCAAGTCAGAGCTCCAGGAAACTCAGGAAAGACCATACAGGGTAAACACTGAGAACAAAGGAAACTCCTAAGCACAAATAGCTCTCACCTATTACATTAGTTCATTCATAGACATTGGCAGCAACAAATGCTGGCATGCAAAGACATAGGGATTTCTTTTCATCGATTGTAGGAATGTAAGTGGTTTAAACACTTTGGAGGAGAGTTGGCTGATGTGGAATATTAGTTGAAGATGTGTTACATCTGTTTACGCTGTGGAACATTTGTCTAATGTTGCAAAGATGTGTTCATTCTTTTATGTTGCATTTGTTTAACTCTGTGAAGCTATGTTATTTTGCCTGCCTAAAACACCTCATTGGTCTAATAAAGAGCTGAATAGCCAATAGTGAAGTAGGAGAAAGGATAGGCATGGCTGCCAGGCAGAGAAAATATAGAGAAGGAGAAAAAGATCAAGGAGTGGGGGAAAAATTAAGAAAGAGGAGGAGGACATTAGGAGTCCAGTTACACAGCAAGCCATGGAGTAAGAAGTAAGGAAAGGGATACAGAAATAGAAAAAAGATAAAAGCCCAGAGGCATAAGGTAGATGGGATAATTTAAGTTAAGAAAAGTTGACTAGAAATAAGCCAAGCTAAGGCTGGGCATTCATAAGAAAGATTAAGCTTCTGTGTGATTATTTGGGACCTGAGTGACAGATCCTCCAAAGAGTAAAGAGTTAAAAAAAAACTACAGTTGATACTTCTACTTTTAATATTTTAATTTAATATTTTATTTTCTTTTATTTTAATTGCATGTATCTATCTGTGGGTTATATGCCATACACATGGATATGCACTAAGATGTCAGAAAAGAGCTTTGAATGCACCAGAACTGCAGTGACTGAAGGTTGGGAGATGCCCAGTGTGGCTGCTGGCAAATGTCCTCTGCAGGTCCTCTGCAAGAATGCATTCTCTTAATCACTGAGCCACTTCTTCTGATCACACACTTAATGGCTCCTTACCAAAGTCAAGCACACTCTTTCCATAGTGACTGTACTCCTAGGAATCTCTACAAAAGAATTTATACAGTGTACACAAACATATCTGTACAATTTCTTTTTACTGTAACTGTATTTATAATAGCCCAGACCTGGAAGCAACCAAAATGATCCTTGGGAAATGGAGAAAGGAACTGTGATACCATACAATAGTACATTAGCCAGTTATGAAAAGGAAGTGGACATTGAGTTGAGAGGATGTCTCAGTGTTTAGAACAACATGAATTAAAGCCCCAGCACTCACATTAAAAGCCTGATGTGCCTATGCACATACATGTGATTTCAGTGTTGTTAGGGGTGTAGGTATTGGGATTTCTGGGGCTTACTGGCTGCCAAGCTTGCTCCAAATTCAGTGAGAAACACTGTAGCAAGAGAATGACAGTCAACACCCTCCTCAGGCCTCTGTGTAGGTAGAGGCATGTACACATACCACTCACATACCAGAAACAGCAACAAAAACCATTGGGCTAAACCATGGATGAATGTAAATGAAAAGAAATCAGAAAAGGTACATGGTATATCATTTCATCTCTGTGGCATTCTGAAAACTTTATAAAGTTTGGAAATAGTGAAATGAACAGTGGTTGCCTGGACTTGGTGGGGAGAGAGTGAGAGTCAATTCTGGAAGATATGCAATGAAGGGACATGTTACTCTCTACTTGTCCAACTCATGGCCTATAGGAAGAGAGAAGACAGAGGCAAGGCCCCAGCTCTAAATGCATTAATATTGGCCTTGGTTCAACAAGTATCACCAAGTGCATGTTGTGGACTAAATTTTATTTCCTAAATTTAGACTTAAACTTCTTTTTGGAGTTGAGGACTTTGAGAATTGACTAGGGCATGAAGGAGACACTTGGGTAAGACTTAACACTCATACAAAGGAGCTTGAACATACAGCCTCTCTCTCTCTCTCTCTCTCTCTCTCTCTCTCTCTCTCTCTCTCTCTCTCTCTCTCTCTCTCTTTCTCTCTCTCTCCATAAGGGCATGTGTAAAAGCTGGACTGATGGCTGGGAAGAGAGCCCTCATGAGGAATCAAATAAGGGTATGTGTAAAAGCTGGACTGATGGCTGGGAAGAGAGCCCTCACGAGGAATCAAATAGAGCCACTTCATGATTAAGGGCTTTCCAACCTCTAACCATGGAAATAAACCAACTTCTGTTGAAGATCCTAAACTACAGTATCTCTTTATAACTGCACCCTTAGTAAGGTTCACCATACTGTAACAGAAGTATCATGAACTACATGGCTTTTAAGAAACAGAATGTTGTTAGTAACAGCTCAGGCTCAAGTCACAGAGCAGGGTACCAATCAAGTTCTGGTACTAATCTCTCTATGAGATGAAACACTGAAACTGTCATGACAAAAATAACAAAAACCAAAAGTCTAATAAAACCATACATCCATTTGTGTGGGTTCTATTTTGCTGTCTCAAATGACCACCACCCTCATCCTCACTTCATTCCAGGTTAGATTTTCAACATATGGATTGACCATGGAAACAAAAATATTCAGTGTACTACGTAGCCTGGGCAGGAGTGTCACCCTAATGCAAATTGTTAAACAGGGACAGAACTGTTTGGGAATGAGAAGGGGCATCTGGGAGCTCTGTGTTGCGACTCTAAACTAAAGCCTCCTGCTGTAAACTAAAGCCAATCTAATACCAGATGAGATGGAGGACACCAAGGAAACAAGGCCTTCTCAACAGAGCACAGCCAACACACACATGAACTCACAGACTGTGGCAGCATGCACAGGTCCTGCCTGGGGAGCACCTGATGGGGACCTAGAAAGAGGAGATGTGGACACATGCCTTCCATCCCTAACCCAGAAGCTAGCTCCAATTAATAAACATTTGTGCATGGAAAATGAGTTTTCTCCAAGGAAGTCTTTCTGAAGAAACAAACCACTCCTAAGTGTCGGCCCATGCCCAGAAATAGATGGCCAACACAAAAGGAACTCCAGGGCATCTTTGGAGGATCCTTGTTTCATAATGCTATGTCAGCCCCCCGACCCTCTCCCCTTAAACCTTACAGATCCTTTGCACATATATTATGGCTTCCTATGTTGTATTTTTAAGGGATTCCTGTGTGTGCAAACATGTGTCTCTGTGTCTATGTGCATTTCTAGTGCTTTTTTCTCTTTTTCTTCTGTGTGTTTTATCCTATTCTGACTCCTTTGTTGGTTTTGTTTTGTCTTATTATTACCCTTATATGTTTGTTTTCTAAGGAGAGACAGAAAGGGTATAGATCTGGTTGGGAGGGGAGGTGGGGAAGAACTGGGAGGGTTTGGGGGAAGAGGAACCATACTCAGAATATATTGTATTAAAATATATTTTCAATAAGAAAAAAAAAGTCTACTTTTTAACAAAAGAGGAATCCAGTAAAAACAAACAGATTATTAATAAAATGGGAAATCTGTCTGCATTGTTCATTAAAGAAATAAGTATGAAATATTAAAGAGACAATGTTTTTATAGACTCCCACATATGTGTTCAAATAAATCATCCTGATCATCTACTTAATCCTTTGGGCTTTTCAGAGATAGGAGTAAAGTGGCAGAAATTAGTCTCCAATGTCCTCCCTATTGTTTATGGCACAAATCAGAACCAAGAATCAAAGACAAAATACACTCATCCTAAGTACCATGAAGAAAACACCATCATTACATTATAAACAGGGGAGGCCCTCTTTTGTGATCTCAAGACAGAGCCACTGATGAAAATGATTACATCCCGACAATAGCATTGTACTATTTGGTGATTTAAATATTACTGAAAGGTACCTTAATTGTGTGTGTTTGAGGGTTGTCAAAATTTACTAACATTTCCATTTAAATAGCATGGAGGAAAACTAAACACATTTTCAGCATGGTTCTGTGAATTTATTTAAAAGAACACATCTAAACAATTTTGATATCTGAATTGTTGCTTTTAAGAGTTTATTCCCTATACAGAAAGTAATGTTAATTATTACTCATGCAAATTTTCATTTTTGATGAAACAATACTAAAAAATAAAGCAGTCTTGGGTGAACTTTTCATGCTGTTACTAATATAAAAACACATTCAACTCAGATGTCCAAGAATTTCTCTAGTGGTAGAAAACGTAGTAAAGAAATGAGAACAGAAATGAACTCGAAACACCACAGATGCATCGCAAAGGGCGGGAACAAGGCCATGTTCATATCCTGGATCTGGGAGCAAAGCTGAGTTCTCAGCATAAAGGCCATTTAGTTCTATTATGATATTCACTTAAGCCCTCTGTTTATATTAGTCCATATTGGGATGAAATGTAGAAATTAAAGACTTAACCTTTGTGTGATGGACTTAGCAATCACAGAGAATTTAAAATGTTGTGGGATAGCTGAGATGGCTCAGTGGATAAGGATGCTTCCTGCCAGGCCTGACAACCTGAGTTAGATCCCCAGGGCCCTCATGGTGGAAGGAAAGAACTGACTCTTCCTGCTGGGGATTGTGCTGTGCCCTCTTCAAATGTGTGTGCACAACACACACACACACACACACACACACACACACACACACACACACACACACATGCACGCACACCCGCACATATACATCCATGGGGCAGGGAGGGGGCCGGGCGAGACAAAGAAATACAAAGACACATAGACTCAGAGACAGACAGACACAGAGAAATGCAGTAAAAGAGTTTAAAACACTGGCTGCTTACACTGTGAAATGTCTGACATTCCTAATAAAAAATAGCAAATTTCTTAAGTGGACCGTAAGTCTTTAAAATCCCAAATTACAAACTTGATTACTATTTTTTCTTGATAGAGAACACAAAGAACCCTTACGGCTATGCTTATTAAGATAGTCTAGGTCTACGAAAGACAAGCAGGGAGGACATCCTACCTTAACAGGGCGTTTCTTCCATCACTTCTGGTGCACCACACCTGCCTGGTTTGAAAACCTATCTCTACACCTCCAGGCTGGGAGTGGTGGTGTGCTTTGTAACTCTGATGTGTTAGGGTGACTTGCTCATTTGAATCGGAGCTAAAATCCTGGACATTTCTTCCGCTGAGGTCGACTTCCTTAAGGTGAGGGAGTCTACATTTGCTCCACGGTCCCACCTTAAGGCTGAAGGAATATTCCTCTTTCCCCAGAGGACAGGAACCCGGAGCCTCACAGGCTCTGGATTCGGTCAGATTCGGGCACTGCAGACCTCCATACAGCGGGGGCGCAATGGCCACGCGTGTTCTATGCTGCAGCTTCTTCCCACACCCTTCACGGCAGGTGGACCACGGGGAGAACTCGGATACCACACAGTCCCTGGGGCAAGGGATGAGGCAGGCTTGCTCTGTGGGGGGCTGGGGGGCAAAGTGTTCGCAGATCTCACTGGCCACCATGGTTCTGTTGAGCTTCTGCAGACAGCGCACTGTCCGATGCTGCAGACCGTGCTGCGCGGTCACACACTCGGCAGCCCGAGGCCGGGGCTCGCCTTGGGCCCCAGGAGCCAGCAGGCAGCGGTGCCAGTCGGAAACCTCCCACTGGAACAGGTCACTGTGCCAGTCACACACTCGGAAACAGCTCCTTTCCTTTGGAGGTCGGCTGCTCTCATCACAGTTCGACATGGGACTGGTCCACCCTTCTATGTGAAAACACCACACAGCTCGACTCTGGGCTCCGCCTGGTCCGCAGTCACCTGCACACCTTCCCCAGGGACCTGAGATAGGAAAACAAGGCTCTCCATCATTCTTCAACTCTGGTGGAAAGAGAAGTATGTCTACATATTTCACAACGCACCCACTACAAAAATCATAAGTTTGGTGTGAAATGGAGGTAATATTTACTGTTGAAGTTGGTGGGCTGTCTCAGTTTACGATTGTGGAAATTGCCTTCTGTCTCTGATTAAAAATACAAACTAGTAAAAATTACTTGAATACTGTGATGTTTGTTTCCGTAGCCCTGTAAGGTGGAAGCTAATGGAAGTACTGACCTGTGGAGGTGTTCTGAGGAACTACGGTGCAATGTGATACCAAGGAAACAGCATGTAACTAACGATCCGACAATTATGATTGTTATGTTCCAAAGCCTGTATATATAACTCAATATTAATTCCTTCTACTAACCTAGTATTAATACATTCTAGGTAGGTAATTTTTTCATCAAAAAAGCTTAGAGGCTGGAGAGATGGCTCACATGTTAAGAGCACTGGCTGCTCTTCCAGAGGACCCAGATTTAATTCCTAGCACCCACAAAACAGATCACAAGCATCTGTAATTCCACTTCCAGGAAATCCAAAGCCTTCTTCTGGCCTCAGGCACCTGGCAAGCTCATGATCATAGACCTACAAGCAGACAAAACACCCCTATTCATAAAAATAATAAGGACAAAAATATTTTTAAAAGAAAAGCCCTAAAGCCAAGATTTTAATAACAAGAGTTTTCATGTTTCTAATTCTTCAGTGCACACATTACACAGCTCAAAATAGAAACACATTTTAAAAAAAACTTGAAACATCCTAATATATTTTTATTTTCCAAGTAATTGTCCTCAGTTTAGGTTGGTTTTTCCTGTGGTGAACTGCAGAAAGAAAAATAAGTCTACCACAAGAATAACAGTGAGGCAGTAAATGATGTCTGCTTTGACTATGGAAAATCTGTCCCTGGAAGTGAGATGGGTTTTCATTTGTTTGTTTAACACTTGGCCTTTTTTAAATTAAAGATTTATATAAACACACGCACATACACACAGTGAAATTAATCACACACACAGTCTATACATCTCAGTGAACTTCTGTACAGGTAGAATAGCCCATTCGGAAGCCATGAAGTTTCATATAGGATCTTACACATTTCCTGTTGAATATACTTTATGCACTTATCCACTACACACACACACACACACACACACACACACACACACACACACACACACACATCTAAGACAGAGTTAAAATTAGAATTAGCTTTGTAATCTCATTCATGACTACAGTGTAAATTATCTGCATTCAGTCCTTCCTCACTTTTAGTATTTAGAATACTATTTTTCAGTTTAAAGACACTTGGTCTTTCTGTGTGACCTACGTTAGCCTTGAGCTGCAGGGATCAAGCAATTCTCTATCCTCTGCCTCTGCCCCCCAAGTATTCAAAAATGCTGCACAAACCACAGTGTCTAACTGGTTTTGATTTCTGATAGGTACAAACTCCAGGCCAACCTTCCAACATGAGCTTGTAACAGCGGATCCTTTAATGAGCTCCTGGGTAAAAAGGGAGATATCCATTGAGGTCATTTATTTTTTAACCTTGTCTGTTAACCTCTTCTCTGGGGTTAGTCAGCAAGCTTCTCTCAGAGAGGTGGAGCATTATATGAAAGCCAGGGGGACATCCTCAGAGCACTGCCATATTTTCCTTTAAAAAATTTTTTTTTGTGTGAGACAAGGTCTCTCCTCCCTAGCCTAGAGCTCACCAAGTAGCCTATCCTGTGAGATTTACAGGGGTCTGCATGTCTCTTCCTCCCCAGAGCTGTGACAATACACATGTGCCACCATGGCTAGCCTTTTTGCATGGTTATAGGGATGGAACTCAGGTTTTTGTGCATGCGGGACAAACGCTTCACCCACGGAGCCATCTCCTGTCTTTGATCATACATGTTTCACAAGGACAGAAAATAATCATATGTTATATCAATGGAAAAAGTAATATCCCCTCTTTTACTTCCCTTACTAACTTGAACCTGAGGATGTTTAGTAAAGTCAACTACATAACTTATATCCACTACCAAGACTCTGGAGGTCACTGAGGCATTCTGCAACCCAGGAAGCCGAGTAACACCAGCTGACAAAGAAGCCAGTCTCCCAGGCCACCCCAAATGCAGCTTTATCACTTCAGGAAGTGAACTTTACATGTCAATCAATTACATGTTTAGGGATAGTCACAGGCATTAGGGGAGTGACATCACCTGCAGCCCCAGAGAAGCAGGTTATCTGTCTGCATTTGGGTTGCCTGCATTTGGCAGGGTTTGGCATTTTAGCAGGAAAACAGTATCTCACTCTAATATTCTTGGTAGTTCAGCTCCATACATACTCTGGCCACATAAATCTTGCAACCATGGCCACACTGCATTGTCAAGCTATGGTGACAATTCTTCTTTCGTTTATAAAAGAGATTAACACAACAGGGGGTGGGGTTCATTTCATTGAAATGAAAGGGCAAATGTTATTGCAGTAAGTCAGCTTCTACTCAGCAATATACCTTTGAGTTTGCCTGCTCACTTCCAGCATTCCGTCCCAACATCAACTGAGCACGATAAAGCGATTACACTTGCAAAGTGGTGCGCTCAGCACTAGCTGACTTGATGAACTGTCTTTAGTCCTGTGTTCATAAGCAACATGCAAAGCTATACAATGCAAATGGAAAATGCAAAGCTGTACGATGCAAATGGAGACACTCGCTAGCTGACCATTCCCTGGAGCCTCGATGCTGTGGGGTTGTTTCATTTTAAGTATCCTACCCACTGTCCACTGTGTTGGATAATCCATTAGTTTCTCTAAAAAGATCTACTCAATAAAGAGATATTTCAAAAGCATATGATGGTGGTGAACTATAAGTATAAAATGAGTCATGGGTGATAGTAAAATAATTGACTATAATAAAAGGAAACATTTTGTAAGGTATCTTGGGCTTTAAAATAATGGCTGTCAGGATATCTCTATTTGTTTGGGTATTACATGCACACAACTCTCCACTCAAGATTTTGGGTGTGAATTAAAGAGAGAAAAGAAAGTCAATTTGTTACTACTCAATCTTGAAGAAGTTAACATGAAATTTCATTCAGTGAAAACATACTATCAACCAGATACTGTACTTTTTAAAAACGTTTGTCTAAGATATTTGTTATCATTACAATATTGTTTTCTTATTAAAAGTCCTTTGGTTACTTCACAAAACTAAAGCAGCTCATATTTTTTAGTTGAAACTATTAATATCTTAAACCTTATTTAAGGCCATTTTTGGTTGAGCTTTTAGATCCTTCATCTACATGAAATGTTACCAAATAGCACCGTTTTCCCAGATCAATGGAAGACAAAATGTAACAACTATTAAAAAGCTTAAATTGCTACAGTCACAGACCTAATTCATGTCACAGTGAAGGCTGCTGGTTTGCTCATCCTGTGGATGGGACAAGCAGCAGTAAGAACAGGAGTGGGCGTGCACACACTGCCTCCAAGACCATGAAGGATGTGTGTCTGTAAACACTGGACGGTTTGCGTAGAAAGCCTCAAGCAAATGCTCAAGCAGACAAAACAAATAAATAAGGAGCCAGTGCAACGTGAATCCTGTATGCTCAGGACAAATGAAAAACAAATTGTAGACAGGACATGTGAGACAAGTGCTCCGGGCAGGTGACCTGCAGTGATTTGCATTTCTCCAGCATGAAGAAAAAAAATGTACCCAATGATTTATTCAGTTTTAGTCAGCAATGAACTTTTAGTACACATGAATTAAAATCACAGACCTGAGGGATTTTGCCATTTTAGAGGGAAAAAAACACCCTCAAAACACGTGCACTTATATGAAATGTGCCTAAAGTTTGGCATATGTTATAAGCCTTGCCCAAGTTCATATACAAAAGACAAGCTTAAAAAATGAGCAGAAAAAAAAAACATTTGCAAAATTCATAATTATATTCAGATTATATATCTAAATAAATAACGTGAAGAAACCTGTTTTACTTTTTTTTTTTTTTTTGGTTTTTCAAGACAGGGTTTCTCTGTGTAGCTTTGCGCCTCTCCTGGAACTCACTTGGTAGCCCAGGCTGGCCTCGAACTCACAGAGATCCGCCTGGCTCTGCCTCCCGAGTGCTGGGATTAAAGGCGTGCGCCACCACCGCCCGGCTCTGTTTTACTTTTTAATATCAGTTCAGAAGCTGCACATGTTTTAAATGGAAAACAGGCAAGAAGCCACACAGAGTTTAGGATGTCTCTAAACAACTCCTTTGCCATGTATCACTCTAGAGAAAGCTATTTCACTGACACAAGTGTGGAGGTGTTGGTTTGTGTGTATTTACCTAGGCCAACTTAAATAAGGTGGAGCTGTGCTTGGCACTTATTGTCTTTTCTATGAGGTACAAACAGGTACCTGCTAGGCATTAAAGTCAATCTATCTATCTATCTATCTATCTATCTATCTATCTATCTATCTATCTATCTATCTATCTATCTCTCCTTTGAGAATCTCAAACAATTTATTTTGATCTTATTAACCCCAACTCCTCCAAGTCATGCTCATGGCATTTTCCTCCCCACCCACTGAGTCCAATTAGTGCTCCCTCTATGTTCATAGGATGTGGCCATCCCCTGATGAGAAAAATAAGTAGCTCTTCTACTCCAGACAGCCATCAGGTACCAATGGCCCCTCCCCTAGGGGTGGAGCTCCTGAGCACCTCCCCCACACTAGAATGTTGACTGGCTTGCCCTGTGGAGGCAACCAAAGCTGTGCTGAGTTCATGAGTGCAGCAAGCCTGTCGTGTCCAGGAAACGTTCTTTCACTCTGGTCCTTCCTGACCTCTGGCTCTTACAATCGTCTGTGTCCTCTTCTACAACGTCACTTGGGCCTTGATGGGAGTGTGAAAGAGATGTCCTATTTTTAGCTGAGCATTCCACTTTGCTTATTCTCTACACGTGGACCAACTGTTGGGTATTTTAAATTGAATCAGTTTTAA